ATTAGAAATTATTGTACCTATCAATTTTCGTAAAAGACATCATGAAATTTTTCATAAAATCGTCCACCCGTTATCGAATCTAGACGGTTCAGATGATGTTGATAAGAATATGATCACCCATGTACATCATTCGTGATAATATAACAATCAAGACCGGAAGAAGATTAAAAAATCACTTCCTAAATATGTACATGTTGCAGTCGCCACTCTCTGAAGGTCACATGTAGAACGTCTGAAAGGTATTGCTTTTAAAACAATCACTCTTGGATATAATTCGTTATGCTTTAAAAGTCAAGACCTACACAGCCACTTCCAAAATCTGAACATCACTCACTCACCTCTCCCTGAGTAAAAGGGCATATGCTACTACGGTCGTTTAATGCTTCTGGATGCTGCCTGTTGAGACAGTCACCTTAAACCGTTTGCATAAGCAGAATCTCTCTGTGATGTTAGATGTGTTCACAGCTTTTCAACACTTTTGCTTACCGGCTTGTGGGCTTGTGCACCGTAGAATAAATAATCATCTGACAAAACAGATCATCCGCTACCCTGTTCCACTTTGTTTTTTTGCTGGCTCCCTTTCTGACGTCTCTTGAGTTTTTGCTCAAACGCGAGAAGCTCATAAGCTGGCGTAAATGATCAATGCTGAACCGGTTTGTCGAACAAGGATAATCTCTTGTTCTTTAACTTCACGTCTGATGAGGTCACTTGTGTCCGGAACTAAACAGCACTGATTTGTACATCCGTCACGTGAAGAGTGCGTCATGCATTGTGTCCATTGCGAGGGGGGGGGTCAGTCACATGTTGCTACGTAGCTAATCGATCCTTAAAGTCATATGATCATTGCTGATCTCACCTTGAACTGAACTCATATGCGCAAGATTGTTCGGGCTTCAGTACAGATTCTTCGATGTTCCCACACGCCTAGCACATACATGCCAGGTCATTTCGTCCTTTCAGCGCTTTCCCTCCATTTTTGCTACGCACGTCAGCCATCTCATCAGAGGTCATCCGAATGGTCGTTTTCTTTCCCTCGGGTTCCATTCGGCAATGCGCGAGGTCCATCAGTTGTCATCAAGTCGCGCGATTTCGCCTGCCCAACGGATCTTGCTCTCTCTCCCTCTTTTTTTCTCTCTTTCTCTCTCTCTCATGACTCGCACGATGTCTTGCACGCCATTCACTTTGGGGAGAGTTTTATTGTCAATATGGTCACGAAGAGATATTCCTAACATCCTTCGTTCCATTGCTCCGTCACAGTCAGTTGCCTTCAGCACTCCTTTGTTAACGAGGTCTTTCACACGGTCTTGCTGGTCTGATACTTTGATGATATCGATGATGCTATAGAATTTGCGCCATCCGGCCGCCCTTCGATGCATAATCTTCGGTAGGAGATTATGGCGCATATTTAATTCTTGGCTCAAGTAGACATAGTTGCTAAGTTCTTTTAAATCCGCGCTGTCCATCTGTAAATTGGCCTTGGGCATGCCGACACTTTGATTCATCTTCGTTTTCGTTGTGCTAATTTTAAGACCCATTTCATTACTTCGTCTGTTGAGCTCTTGCAGCATCTCCTTCATTTCTCGAGCATTACTCCCGATGAATTCTATGTCGTCTGCGAATAGTAGATGATTCAGCTTTTCGCCGTTCCGCTGATGTTCAGACTGCCCTTCCACTTCAATTTGTGGAACACCATCTCGAGACAGGCATTAAAGAGCCTTGGTGATAAAGGACAGCCCTGTTTAGCGCCCTTCTCGATGGGTATATAAATTGAGTTTAAGAAAAGTCGAGCATCCTGTATTTGCTTCTATGATGATTTCGACATAGTTCTAATCGATTCCGTCTTGCACAAGAGCTTTCAGGGCAGTGCTGAGCTTCACGCTGTCGAATGCCTTCTCATAATCGACGAAAAGGAGACTTAAGGGTAATTTGTCATCCTTAGTAGGTCCTAGCAGTTGGTTTAGAGTGAAGAGGTTGTCTTTCGTGCTACATTTACTTCGAAATTCGGCTTGTTCTCTCGGCTGCTGGCCTACTGAGGCGGTTGGTAATGATGTGAATAGCTTCTATACGTGGGATAGCAAGCAGATAGGGCTTCAGGTCTTCTTTATCACACTTTTTATAGAGCAGAGTGGTCCTCGAATCCTTCCAGCTACTAGGGATGGTCTTCTCAGTTAGGTAGCAACTGAATCTAGCAGCGAGTGCCTTCCAGAGTACGTGCCCACCGGCTCTCATTAGCTCAGTGCTAATACCATCGTTACCAGGAGCCTATCCACTCTTCATCTGGAAGATTGCGTTTCTTACTTCACTGAT